CAACCATTTCTACGGTTTTCATTCACAAATTGCCCAACAACGTCGAGATGCATATGCAGGCCAAATGCCATGTGAAAATGAAGAAAGGCCTCATAATATGTCCATTGAGGAAACACATCCACCAGACCTCTCAAAGGGAACTTCTTTTGAAGATACCCACCCACCAAAACAATGATTCATAATTTCTTTTGTCATCTTTAAAAGACTTTTGCTTAATGTTCTTTTAATTATTTTTATATTTATGTTCATTCTTTTTTATCATGACCAATGCAACCCCATTATGTATTTTTAAGTAACATTTTCAACTTTTTAAGGTCCACTTGCATCTGAGAATCTTTGCAATCATTTGCCTAATTGTTATAAAAATGATCTAGTATTATTACACAGTAAAAGTTGCTTTCTGATTGGTTAAAATCAAAGATGACAATTTTTCATCTGGGAATATGGCACAAAGGTTCAATTTCTTTATGCACATGGACCTTTCAAGTTCATGGGAATTTCAAAAGTGCCCTGAAAAACCACTTTTTCAAAACGAAACAAAACACTTTTCAAGGAGTTTTGTAGATCAAAAAGCCTGCACAAGAAGTACTTGTTGTTTAGAGCAAATTTAGTATGACGTATACAACAGCAAAGATCATTCCACAGAGACAATGGGGCACGGTTGTGGAACCCAACATGGTAGCTAATGAATGCAAATAGAAATAATGATCGAAGAATACAATATTATCATGCCAGGCCGGGTACGTCCACACCATGAAAGTGTTCTTTGTTTTGTTCAGTCATAAAAAAGCTGTTCAAAGAGGACTGCTCAGTCAAGTTAGGCAATCACTTCTTAGTAATTAGAACATAATTGACATGTAGTGATTGTACTTTATATTTTATTACTATTGTGAATTGATGCACTGTGATAATTATCACAAAAAGGATGATGTATTTCATTCAAAATATGCAATTTAGACATCACAAATCTAGCAAATGATATGTATGTGAATTAGATTGWTAACCAGTAAAATAGTAAATCAGAGTAGTCATCCAAGACAAAATACAAAAGAACTTAATGCACAATGATGTGAAATACTAAGACCTAGTGTCCATATACACATCATCCAGCCCTTAAAAACTTAAGCAACAATGGCATTTTTTTGGCGTTTGGGGCAATCATATGGACACTAGACACTATAAGGATTACCAAAAATAACATTCTGAAYGTGTAACATGTTCTAAATATAATTTAGAATAGAATATGATTTTTAATATATGTTTTTAATTAGGTCACAAATTGAATTAATGTAATTAGGGATACATGTTCATGTAATAGGAAATACTGTATAGTTGGTTCCAAAAAGGTTATGTCATCAAGCTAAAACAGAAACAAAGGAGCATGTGGAACCAAATAAAACATTTCTCAATATTCTTCCTTTAAAATCATTTCAAGTGGTGTTTTAACATATCTAAGGCAAATGATGTTTCCGAGTACCCAGAATCCCTTTTGGTCTTAGCTGTATGATGATATTACCTATCTGTGACCAGGCAATATTTTACATAACTAGCTAATAATAATATTATACTATCAGTGAAATATTATTCTCGCACAGCAAAGTATTCACATTGAATKATAGTGCGTCAGAGGAATGTTTGTTGTTTCTCTGCTGTACTTGACAGCAATAAAATTATTATTTTATTTGATAATGTATTTTAATATTTTGATATGTCACATTCGAAGGAGGAGATCTGTATGAGAGTTTATAACATTACCATCTCCAGACTATACAAAAGTTCTCTGTTTTAAATTGCTACCTACAATAAAAAACCCTCTAATTTCAAATATTCAAAATATCACCCATTTATACCAATAATTATTAGAAACTTTTCAGAGAAAAGCATTTGCCTCAAAAGAGGAAAGAACCAAAGGATAGAGTAAATGATAAAATGATAACATTTTTGCCTACCGGTAAATTTTCTAAGATTGAGTATTACAGTAAAATGCTTCATATAAGCTCCTTTTTGCAAAGGTCCTACAAGAATTCTGTGCCTTTTCCAATTTAATTTGCCATTTTTCAATTTTATTTTATTTGTTTTTTGTCTTCTCTCTTTATAGCCTGAGTATCAGGCTCTCTCGAAGGGGTTTAGGGCTACTCTCTTTACGACACTGATGTTTTATTCATCAGTAGTTGTAACTTGTATTAATGAGTAGTGTGTGTAAAATGGACAGCTTATTACTTGTTTGGTGGTCTAACCAGGTTAAGCATTTTGCAAATGTCATTGCATTCGACATGCATTTTCCAAAAATTATCAAAACCTTTCTTCTTCCAATTACCAGTTCCAAAGCATTTGTAAACTGGAGAATGAATCTGCGGGTCTGTTAGGAAAGTGCATCCCTTGTTATCGCGTGGTGCCCAACCCTGTATGTCAACAACAATCAATTTACGGTCTGACGCTTGATAAGTAAAATGACTGTAGGCCAACACCAGATCGGTACGTCTTCTTGTGTTCTTCCAGGCAACGTTATTGGTTAATTTAGTAAACTCCCCAGACATGTATGGCTCTGCATTTAAGACATTAGTCACATGACCAGACGAGTTGACCAACTGCAGGAGAACTACTGGCAGAAACTGGATTTCTCCRACGTTTCCTCCTGTGGAAATAATTGATCAACCTATTCGATAATGGTTATAATCATAGTCCCCTTTTAACACAATGAAATCACAGAATCTTTAAAGAGGGGGATAGGACTCACTAAAAATGGAGATTTCTACTAAAATCAGCTTTCTTTCAATGATTAACCACTTTTCACCATGTTTGAAACAGGGGGGCTAGAACTGCTCTATAACTTTGATAAGTTCAAACCTACTGTATGTTTCGTGACTAACATTAGAACTTGGGATACCCCAACTCCACCAGAACACAACTTCTCTATAGATATCTCTTTCGAGTATGTACACCTCTGAAGCTACTGTAAATGCATTGCATTGAAGGATATGTTTGGTACAGAACATGGCGGATTTCTTTTGTTTTCTCTAGAAACTAGTCCCACAGTGCATTTAAAATCAGGTAGTGATGAAGTCTATTACAACTCACTTTTTAACATTAGCAGAATATATCCTCTGGTCAGTCTTATTTTCTCWGATTCAGAAAACAAGAACAACACTKTAAAGGCYGAAATATAYAGCACAACTTTTGTCTACAACCATCGCATGCAACCTGCATAAGCCATCTTTACAACATGGCTACAACCGTCATAAGAATTAAAAACAATTGCTTAATAGCCCAACAATTCAACCTTAAAAGTACCTCCAGATGTTATAGAGAGACTCCTGTTAAACATAGCAACATAGTGTCGTGCMGTCATCTGACTCARMACATCGTATTCATACTGTTCCTTGTCTTTTTGTTCTCGGTATGTCTTTGCCACATACCTATGTTAATGAAT